ATTAGGGTACTTGGTATTCTGTTCAGTTTTAGTGACCCATTTGATTAGGGTACTTGATATTCTGTTCAGTTTTAGTGACCCATTTGGTTAGGGTACTTGGTATTCTGTTCAGTTTTAGTGACCCATTTGGTTAGGGTACTTGGTATTCTGTTCAGTTTTAGTGATCCATTTGGTTAGGGTACTTGGTATTCTGTTCAGTTTTAGTGACACATTTGGTTAGGGTACTTGGTATTCTGTTCAGTTTTAGTGACCCATTTGATTAGGGTACTTAATGCACTAGAAAGGCTTAGTAACACCGAGTACTTACCGGGCCAGTTAATTCATGGAAAGTTTCGTTGTGCAACTGCATGTTTTCTTCTTTACTTTCCTTCATCACCTGATGCGTTTCGGTTTTTTCACTTACAACACGTGGCGCTCCTGATGTAGCCTCGTAACCAGGATCGTCACCAAGGTTTTTGTGCTGTTTATGAAGGTTAGTATAAATTTTATTTTTTAGAACAAAGATGCGTATAATTTCTAAATGTCATAAATATTCTCTCCTTTAGGTTGCAGTTGTTACAACGATCCAGAAGAAGGAAAAAACAGTTAAACGTAATCATTTAACTTATTAATAGCAACTTGAAATTAACCATATAATTTAAAAGAGAAAAAAAAATGATAATTTATTATCAGAGTACAAAAATTTCTCCATTCAAATATTTGCTGATTTTTAGAACATTAAATATTTTCACTGAACATCGAACAAACGGAAATATTTTTATTACCTAAATAATCCACAGAAGACAAAGCTTATAAGAAGTTATAAAAAAAAAGGGGTTTTTAAATCTTCACCTACATTTCAAGCATATCTTCTAAAAACCATTGAAAAACTTGCACGTTAAAAACACAACGAAAAAATGAAACACAAAACAGAGAAAAGTAAACATAAAAACAGGATATTGTTAAACTGTTTGTCACCAGGTGGTGAAAATATTTCTTCCCCCTCCAATCCCCAATTTATTCGCTGGACCACTGGGAGCTCTGTATACTGGACTTATAATACATTATATGTTCCTGAAGAAGCAACAAAAGAAAAGGTTAAACAGAGGTCAAACTTTATTTAAAACGAGGATGATTCATCTGAAATATGTGAGAATATATTAAAGAATAGAACTTGTGTCCATATAACTTAAAAAGTCCCTCGGTGAGTAAGCGGTAAGTTTAAGGACTTACAACGCTGAAATGCGAGGTTCGATTCCCGCAACGGACACAGTTTGTTTGTTATTAAGCACAGAGCTACACAATGGGCTATCTGTGCTCTGCAGGTGGATGAGATCCTTCAACTACATTAAAAGCAGCGGGCTACATCGGACCCACAAAAAACTTGATTCGAATCCCTTTTTCGAAATTTCTAATACAACTACTATGAAATGTTTTTGAATATAAAATTAGTTTACTATAATTTGTTTGGTTTTGGATGTTTGCGCAAAACTAATTATATACAATCGTCTGATTTTGGTTTGTTTGAAGTTAAGCACGAAACTATACAATGGGCAATCTGTGCTCTGCCCACTACGGGTATCGAAACCCGCTTTCTAGCGTTGGGGCAAAAACTCATCATGCTAAGAGGCTATAAAACCACTTTCTCCTAACTACCAGTCGAGCACTGTTTTCAGCCTCATCCTAATTCTGGACTGACAGATATGAGAGGAGGCACCTAGTCAACAGCACCAACCGCCAGCTCTAGGGCTATTCTTGTCTGACAGCATAGTGAAAGTTGACTGTCACCCATTTAATGCACCCACATCCCCAAAGTGCGGGATAGGATTCCCCCACCCCACCCCGCAGATCCATAATCAATCATTGATTCATCTCAGGCCTAAAATAATTTTACAACATGCACTCAACTGAATCAATATTGTTCAAACTACTTACACCCGAGTTTTCGGTTTCCTCCGTTCTGTTGATTCATCTCAGGCCTAAAATAATTTTACAACATGCACTCAACTCAATCAATATTGTTCAAACTACTTACACCCGAGTTTTCGGTTTCCTCCGTTCTGTTGATTCATTTCAGGCCTAAAATAATTTTACAATATGCACTCAACTGAATCAATATTGTTCAAACTACTTACACCCGAGTTTTCGGTTTCCTCCTTTCTGTTGATTCATCTCAGGCCTAAAATAATTTTACAACATGCACTCAACTGAATCAATATTGTTCAAACTACTTACACCCGAGTTTTCGGTTTCCTCCGTTCTGTTATCTTCTGTCATTTTCGTTGTAATTTGAGGTCCACTATCGGCAATAATTTTGCCATCTTCGTACACCAGCTGGCGCTGAACTCGCGTCTCCACCTGGTGAAATTGGTCTGAGATTATTCAAGTTTCTTTACAAAGTAAATAATAATGATTAAAAGAAAATTAATGTCACAAGAGTCCGAAAAATTAATTATAAGACGAGACCAACTTAGTGTATATTAGTTATTGTATATGTGTTATTTAATTACTGTATATTTCAATAGATAAACAAAAATTACCTGTTTTGTTTTGTGATTTACTACCCTTTTGCACGTGGTCCATTCTTCTGGAAAAAAAGGGGAAGGAATCATGCCTTAACTGAAAGGTTTATTTTCATTATATTCTAACTAAAAAGTATATTCTCTATTTAAATTTCCCGATGCGCTAGTTACTATGGACACACAAAAAAAGTGGAAAATACCCCAAAGTTGACTTAGTTATAGAACCAATTTTGAGACTGATTTTGGCTTTACGATATATTTAAAATATTTCTCATATATCATGAAAATAATATTTGATATTACAATGACCATCTTTATATATGATTTTAGATATAACGGCTTAAAAATTGTATTTATATCCAGAGAGAATTCGAATTTTCACATAATTTGGTTTAAAAGTTAAAACCGACGTTATTCATTAGCATCAAAATTAGGGTTATACAATGTCATATTTATGTGTTGTTTTCAATACAATGTAAACTATGGTGTAGTATTCTTTAAAAAGTATAAAAAATACAGTATCTACAGATATCAATTAACGACACATTTTTCTACTTTACAGTGACTCCTAGTGTGATTTTCCTGAACTAAGTCCCATAAGGAACTGTATGCATGGTTAGGCCTACATCCGGCTCATGTGCAAATAGTCAACCCTCTATGGATGACTTGCAGTTTGTAGCAACAATTAACTACTACTGTCTCTAACACTAAACAAGATTTAAACGACACATTTTATTTTATTTATTTATTGTATGAATGAATAGAAAAGAAGGTCTGTAAAAATTATTTCCTTTACGCTTTTAATTTTGTTTCGAGCTCACGGTAAACTTCAACGATTTTTAGGCCTAGCTCAAAATTTCGATGTCATATGACGCAAGTATTAACGTCACCACTAATCCAAATAATTCAGTCGTTGTGTTATGCCGCTCTCAATCGTTACCACGTGCATGTGGACTGATTCACATCGTCCACTCAGAACTGCAGGTATGACTGGGTTTGCATAAAGCTACACTAGGGTTATCTGCGCTAGCCATCCGTAATTTAGCAGTGAAAGACTAGAGGGAAGGCAGCTAGTCATCATCACCCACCGCCAACTCTTGGGATACTCTTTTACCAAGGAATAGTGGGATTATTGACCGTCACATTATAAAGCTCAAATTGCGAGTCTAGCGCCCTAACCACCTGACCATGCCGGGCACATAAATAGTTATTAGCATACATGTTTAAAAAGCTGAAAGGATATGACCCCCCTATTTCGTTTTATCCGTGAAATCCACCTACAATTCATAGCAACACCTAGCGTTTCCGGTTTCACAAATTTTAAGATAAATTGCATTCAGGCGCCAATGAAGCAATCGTAGAACAGGGGAACGTGATGGTTGAGTTAGTTCTGTCGGGTTACCAAAAGTTCCAATCGAAGAACAGGGGAACGTGATGGGAGATTTAATTCTGTCGGGTTACCAAAAGTTCCAATCGAAGAACAGGGAACGTGATGGTTGATTTAGTTCTGTCGAGTTACCAAAAGTTCCAATCGAAGAACAGGGGAACGTGATGGTTGAGTTAGTTCTATCGAGTTACCAAAAGTTCCAATTGAAGAACAGGGAAACGTGATGGTTGATTTAGTTCTGTCGGGTTACCAAACGTTACCAACCCTCGTGTAGCTTCCAAACAAGACTTCTAAGGATATCAATAATTGAAAAATATCGTCTCTTTTTCAGGAACAGTTTTATATCGACGGCTAGGCCTAAAGGTTAGAAGACACATACTTTCGACGGCTAGGCCTAAAGGTTAGAAGACACATACTTTAGCTATACTTTCCTTCTTAGTGTTAGTCTTACATTAGTGTAGCGATTTTGTTGAGATGTACACTGATATTTTACAGAATGCGCCTAACTTTAACTTACCTTGTTTTGTTGAGGCAACAGCATCCGGGGTCTAACAAAAATACACAAAAAATTGATTTTTTTAGATTTACTGAAATTGTTCATTTATTATTTTAAAGCGCATTTGAAGAAAAAATTATTTAGTTCAACCACTTGAAAAGTTTAGAAGATTGAACGGTGTAAATGTAGTTAATATTGTCTTATACCAGCGGTTCCCAACCTTTTCACCCTCAAGGACCCCCATGTTTTTCTCACTAATAATTAATTTGTTTTTCCATTTTTCACTATCAAATAAAAGACATATATACAACCGAGTGTGCAATTAAAAGAACAGCAGAATTAAAAAACGTACTTGTTTAATGAGATGGTATTATATTCGCGGTCCCCCAGGGGTCCGGGGACCACAGGTTGGGAAACACTGTCTAATAACATGCGTAGTAAGACGTTAACAGCAACTATAAAACACCTTTAGTGGGGAGAAACTACTCCAGACCACATGAGGTTATAAGCGCAGATGATATCTAAAGGCTCCTTGCTTTTTTTTTTATGCATCAGTCAAAATTATATTGGAACAGTTTTATATAAATTGTATGAAAATTTATTAGAAAAAAATTTAATCACAAGACTTCGTTTTTCTAATGTTTTGATGTTAAATAATACAGTGAATTCTTGGTTAAACATTGGTTAATAACATAACAAAATGAAATTTGATTTCTAATTTTTAAGCAAATCATATCAGTTAATTTGTGTGATTTGTACTTCATATGTCATTTATTGTGTTTAACATTTTCAATATATAGCAGAGAATATTTCAAACTTTTAACAGGAAAGATTTGTTATCAATATGTTTGTTTCAAAACTTATATGTAAGTTTTGTACTCTCCAATAGATGGCGCATCTTGTAGTTTCATCTTCTTTTTTTTTTTAAAGTACATATTTAAATATTATCAAAGTTGTAAAAGTGAATTGTTCGGTTAGTGAAGTAGCTTTTTTTACCAGTTCTTGAGGAGGACCAGGTTCTACTCTTCTGGTAATCACTGTTGTGGTGGTCACGTTTGGATTATTCCTCCCACTACCACTGGTGGCGCTGCTGTTATCTTGGTCAGATGGCATCGCGAAAGGGGACACTTACGTGTGGTTTATCTGCAAATAGAAGGGAATAAAATCAGCCACTTTATAACTGAACAATGATACTTTACAATAAGTCAGTGTATCGATTTGAAAGATTAACATCAGTAGTGTTTACTCATCTTATGATTCAAATGTTCATACCAAAATTGTATCCCGAGGCTATCTGCCTATTTCTTACAACTCTAATGGGTTTATATAATAGAACATATCAATAAATGATACGTTATACCCAAATACGGGTACAGGGCCGACCACAAGATATAAAAGGTCAGTACAAATTAATTTTACTGGCTTTTTTTCATTATTTTCCCAGTGAATTTACTCAGTAAAATATCTGTAAATAAAATATTTCCAACCCATGTACCATTTTAGACATCAAAGATACGCTATTGAAAACTGAAAGAGGCTATAATTATACGTTTATGTCACAATATATCTAACAGAATACAACGAATCCTAAGCCTAATGACGAAAATTAGACACAAGAAATACCTATCAATGAAAGTCCAATCTAAGCCTAATGACAAAGATTGGACACTAGAAATATATATCAATAGAATCCCAGATTAAGTCTAAAGACGAAGATTAGACACAAGTACCTATCAATAGAATCCTAGCTTAAGCCTAAAGATAAAGAGTAGACACAAGAAGTACCTATCAACAGAATCCCAACCTAAGCCTAATGACGAAGATTAGACACATGAAGTATCTATCAACAAAATCCCAGCCTAAGCCTAAAGACGAAGATTAGACACAAGAAGTACCTATCAGTAGAACCCCAGCCTAAGCCTAATGAATAAGATTAGACGCTAGACGTACCTATCAATGAAAGCCCGCTAATAATTCGAGGTTAATTTTACGTAATCAGATTTTACTGTGACGTTATCATTCAACAACTTGTAATAGAGTTTAAAGTTATTTTGGCATCTAAGATAACGTATAATAATCACGTATGTTTTAAAAACATAATCAACTTTAACATAGCACTATCTTGACCCAATAAGCTTATTGTGTGTAAGCTTGTCATGTTTCATACTCTATTGGGCAGAAGGTGTTAATTATTTGTGTTTGTTTTAGCGCAAAGATACACAATGGACTATATGCGCTTTGTCAACCTCGGGGGAAAGAACTCCGGATTTTAGCACCGTAAGTCAGTAAACTTAGCGCTGACTCACCGGAAGACAAAGAGCGTTAGATTTCAACCTATGATTTATTTATTACTCATACAACGACTATTTAAATAACTTACAAGCCTGAAATTTGTATTTTAAGTTTATAAGTTTGGTCATTGATGATTCATATTGGTAGAGCTGTTTTGGTTATGAGTTCAAAAAACTTGAAATCGGCCGTCCTAATGTAGTTTAACAGACTCAACAACAGTGCTAATATTATAACAACTGCTAGTTTAACAGGCTCAACAACAGTGGTAATATTATAACAACTGCTAATTTAAGACTCAACAACAGTGGTAATATTATAACAACTGCTTGTTTAACAGACTCAACAACAGTGTTAATATGATAACAACTGCTAGTTTAACAAACTCAATCTTAACAACTGCTTGTTTAAAAGACTCAACAACAGTGCTAATATTATAACAACTGCTAGTTTAACAGACTCAACAACAGTGCTAATATTATAACAACTGCTAATTTAAAAGACTCAACAACAGTGATAATATTATAACAACTGCTAGTTTAACAAACTTAATCTTAACAATTGCTAGTTTAACAAACTTAATCAGTTGTCCCATTTTTACGTTTAACAGACGTGAAAAGAGCAGAAAAGCTAGTTAGAGGAGTCACGAGCTAAATCTAATAATTGCTACACAAACTCGGTAGTTTAACAGACTTGGCAATAACGATAATGATACCAGAAACAACAGGTTAACAGACTGCTGTTGTAGTACAAGAAATCGGAGCTTAACAGTCGTACAATTTTCAGCCCAGGAGAGTTGACCTGTCATCAGATTGAACAATAAAAAACAAAATAGGTCATTAGGTTGATTATTAAGGTACGTGGGAATAACGTGTGAGATAATGATCAAACGACCATCTGGGTGCTCACAGCTTAACGATACATCTAATTAAATGTCTCGGCACCCTACAGCTACAGAAGGCTCTGGTTCTAGGCTACAGGGAATACTAAAAAATAGACCATAGGTTTGAAAGCTCTGAGTGTGCATCTGTTCTTCTGAATGACGAATATATATAAACAAAGTCTGTCTCAGTTTTCAACGAATGACGAAACTGTTCGAGTTTTGAAAATAGCCGTTTGGTGGAAGATTTGACAACCTTGATCTGTATATAGCTAGCGACTTTACGTTGACTCTTCTTATACATTTAAAACATTACAGTTCAGTTGGGAAATTGGGTGATTTCTAAATAAGCTGTATTAAAGGGTTTGGGCCTAATGGTTAACATACCAGGCTGCTGATCGTAAGCCCCAAGGATCGACCCTCGATATAGCACTTTCAGCTTTTGGAGTGTTATAACTGTAACTGTTAATCTCGCTCTTCCGAATAGGTGATTGGTGTTGGTGAGCGCGAAAGTAGGCGGGAAGGGTGTTTACTGGGATTTACCACCCAGAAATATTTTCCTAGCTACATCACCAGTGTTGACTGGTGTCTCCTTCTGGCGAGTAGTTCTAGGTGAGGAATTATTATGTCTGGTGTTTTGTTGTTGTTGTTTGTTAATAAGCACAAAGCTACACAAAGTGCAATCTGTGCTCTGTCCACCACGGGTATCGAAATCCGGTTTCTGGCAGTATAAGTCTGCAGACATACCACTGTGCCACTGGGGGGGGGGGCTATTATGTCTGATCTTGAGAGGTAGATGACAGGACCTTTTAGCCCAGGTGTAGTATGATGCGTCGTTTATCTTGAAAGTATCAATTGCTGACTATTACGGGGTTTATTTTTAGAGTAATTCTCCCCCATCGTAAATGTACAAGTAAGTCGCGTGGTGGCGTCAAGGTCGGTTTCGTAATAATTGTGTTTATGAATTTCGCGCAAAGCTACTCAAAGGTTATCCATACTAGCCGTCCCTAATTTTTAAGTGCTATACTAGGAGGGAGGCAGATATTCAACGTGACCCACCCCACCAATCCTTGGGCGATTCTTTACCAAGGAATAGTGAGATTGGCCGTCACATTGTAATTGAAATGGCAAGCACGGGATTCGAGCCTGCGACCCACAAAGAATATTTCTCAGGAGTTTGAAAAGCTGCATTAAACTTTAATAAAACTTCAGCTAACGCCATTTTTAAGAACAAATAAAAACGCTATTCACATTCTGCAAAGATTACATTGAGATCCAACTCGGGAATGTTGTGTTTTATACGTGTCATGTCATCGCTGTATTTTATAGGTTTTCAGTAAGGTTTCGTGGAAAGCACTCCCATTTTTCCTTCCACCAATAAAATAAAGTGAAAAATTGCAGTAATGAAGGAACAACTCCTAATTCATCCTGCTAAACCTACCTTAGAAACATGTTCTTCCCACTCAACAACTTTATAGCAAGCAATAGAAAGTCAAATGTTTTATTTTTGTTAATGGGGTTACTCCTGCTAAAACACGTCACGTGACTTTCAAGCACTTGGCAACTGAGAGCCAATAAAGTGGTCTCTCTAACTAAAACTTTAGAAAGACAACCAACCACTCATGTGCACACGTTCTCTCAGTTGTTAGCTAGTTAAATCTTCTCCGGAAAGTGATTAGAATGTATGCAAGTAGACTTCCAAAAGACAACACTGATTCAACTGTGGCAGTAGAATCTTAATACAGAAGACAACAGTGACAGTAGAATCTTAATACAGAAGACAACACTGATTCAACTGTGGCAGTAGAATCTTAATACAGAAGACAACACTGACTCAACAGTAACAGTAGAATCTTAATACAGAAGACAACATTGACTCAACAGTGACAGTAGAATCTTAATACAGAAGACAACATTGACTCAACAGTGACAGTAGAATCTTAATACAGAAGACAACACTGATTCAACAGTGACAGTAGAATCTTAATACAGAAGACAACACTGACTCAACAGTGACAGTAGAATCTTAATACAGAAGACAACACTGACTCAACAGTGACAGTAGAATCTTAATACAGAAGACAACATTGACTCAACAGTGACAGTAGAATCTTAATACAGAAGACAACACTGACTCAACAGTGACAGTAGAATCTTAATACAGAAGACAACACTGACTCAACAGTGACAGTAGAATCTTAATACAGAAGACAACAC